TCCTCTTCTTTTATTTTTTTTTGGTCTTTTTGAGACAGGTCTCCCTATAGCCCCACCTATCCTTGGAACTCACTATGTAGACCAGGCTGGCCTTGAAGTCACAGAGATCTACCTGCCTCTGCCTCCTGAGTGCAATGGAATCAAAAACATGCACCACCACATTCCTCTAGGAAGAAGCACTCAGCATAAATATCTTTTATGTTCATCAAAAGACAGTAATAAGTGGTGTTAGGTGTCCTGGTCTATCACCTTCTGTCTAATTTCTTTGAGACAGAGTCTGTCAGTGTTTGATCTAGACAGACTGGCCAGCAAGCCCCAGAGGTCCTCCTGAATGTCCTGTCTTTTCCCTCCTCCATGCCCTCCCTTGAGCACTTGGGTGATAGGTGCATGCACTGCTGTACCTGGCTTTTTATGTGTGTGTTAGGAACTTGATCTCAGGTCTTTTAGCTGCATAGAAAATGTTTTCACCCACTGATCCATCTCCCTAGACCCCCTTGAACACCTGAATTTTGAAGGGATACGTACATTCACTACAGGGCAGGGCTCATACTATAAGAAAATGGCAAACAAGCTGGGTGTGGTGGCACACTCCTGTAATCCCAGCACTTGAGAGACAGAAGCTGAAGGACTGCCACTAGCTTAAGATCAGCCAGGGCTGTATAGGGAGACGCTATCGCAAAATGATAATATAGTAAAATAAATTGGCAGGCAACACAAAAATTGATGTACTATGGGACTCTGACAATGCACTTTATAGAGAAGCTACCCAGAAATCTGAAAATGTGAAAATATATGGGGTGTGGTGGCACATGCCTTTAATCCTAGTACTTGGAGGCGGAGGTAGGTGGGTCTCTGTGAAATGGAGGCCAGTCTGGTTTATAGCGAGTTCCAGACCAGTTGGGGCTCATAGAGAGACCCTGATTCAAGAAACAAAAACATGGTGATAGCCTCTACTTCATTAGAAATGTGAAAAATGCGAGTGGAAAACACAGACAACTATTCCTACCACCCCCAGAATGGCTAACATTAAAAAAGATGCATAGGGGCTAGAGAGATGGCTCAGCAGCTAAGAACACTGGCTACTCTTGTAGAGGACCTGGGTTGGATTCCCAGCACCCACATGGTGGCTAACAATTATCTGTAACTCAAGTTCCAGGGGCTCTGATACCCTCTTCTGACCTCTGTGGGCATTGCATGACATAGGTGCGCCTACCTACATGGAAGCAATACACTCTTACACATAAAGTAAGAAATTAACAAAAAAAAAGATGCATAGTTGTAATTATTGACACTGATGTTAGGCAACTGAAGCTTTCATGCCTGGTTAGTGGGAGTATAGACTGAAACAATTATGTTCCAGAATTATTTGATAGAATAAGTTTTACATATAAAACAAGCAAGTTTATTGATAAATATAATTGCAACATGACTATACGCATATATTCTTTTTAGTATATTATTATTATTATTATTATTATTTCTTTTTGAGACAGGGTCTCCCTGTAGCCCCAGCTGTCCTGGAACTCACTATATAGACCAGGCTGGCCTTGAACTCACAGAGATCACCTGCCTCTGCTTCCAGAGTGCTGGGATTAAAGGCATGCACCACCATGCCCGGCTTATTATTTTTAATTTATGTGTGAGAGTATTGCCTGCATGTATGTGAGTGAACCTGTGTCTTCCAATGCCGAGGAGGTCAGAAGGGGGCTTCAGATTCCCCTGGAACTGGAGTTATGGATGGTTGTTAGCTGCCATATGGGTGCTAGGAACCAAACCTGGATCCTCTGCAAAAGCAGTCAATGCTCTTAACCACTGAGCCATCTCTCCAATCCTCAAAGTACATTATATATAAATTTTTTTCAACTTAAAAGAATTTATTGAGAATTTTATACATGCATATAAGGTGTTTTGATCAAATCCATGCCCACTCCCCTCCAACTCCTCACATATCTCCCCATCACATTTTTTTTTGAGACAGCATCTCTTTATAGCCCCAGCTGACCTTGCACTCCCTATGTAGACCAGGCTGGCTTCAAACTCACAGAGATCTGCCTACCTCTGCCTCCCAAGTGCTGGGACTAAAAGGCATATGGCACTATACCTGGCTAGGGTTTTGTTTTGTTTTTTTAAATAAAATTTTAATTGAATTTTTGTGTATTTCATACAGGAAATCATCTTTATACCCCTTTCCCCTTATGGCACTCTCCCATAGCCCCCAACCCCCAGAGTTCATACATTCTATCATTTGTGTTAAGGTCTTTCATGTAAAGTCAATGTCCTTAGATGTCCCTTATTCACTGGGATCTAGTCAGCCCATCTAGAGTCCCTCTCTTTTAGAAGAGCAGCTCTTGCTGGGCGTGGTGTTGCCCACCTTTAATCCCAGCACTTGGGGGCAGAGGCAAGCAGATCTCTGTGAATTCAAGGCCAGCCTGGTGTACATAGTGAGTTCCAGGACAGCTGGGGCTACAGGAAGGGAGACCTTGTCTCAAAAAAAAAAAATCAGCTCTTCCTCACCCAGCAGTAATCAGCTGTCAATAATTCTTTGATTAAGATTGGGTCCTGCTGTTCATTTCCATAGTTCTGTGCTGTGATTTTTGTCTGCTTAAGTTTGCATGGGTCTTATGCATGCTGACATCATTGCTGTAAGTTTGTATGAGAAGAGTCCCAGGAGCCCATAGGACTATTTTTGTATGGTCATGCACCTCCTCCCTGGCTCTTACAATCTTTCTGCCCCCTCTTCTGAAATGATCCCTGAGCCCTGGGTGGGTGGATTTTGATATAGGAGTCCTGTCCAAGGACCCACACTCTGCAGACTCTCATTCTCTGTGTTTTGGCAGTTTTGTATTGCTGGCCTTCTATTGCTAGAGAGAGCATCATTGATGAGAATTAAAAGATGCATTAGTGTTCTCTTCATCCCTTGTTCTATGACCCAGGAGCCTTAGGTGTAGAGGTTGTATCCTAGATATGCCACTTAGACTTGGGCAATTCATAGACACTCTTTGTGTGTGACCAGTTGTGGAACTCTGTAATTATCTCTTTCTTGAAAAAGAAGTTTCTTTGATGGGTGGTGACTGGGATACTTGTCTATAAATTTAAGGATCCACATTTTGCACACAGTAAGAAATTACACTTGTCTAGGGATGTGACAGCCTTGGAGTTTTCTCAAAGATTTACGACCTCTCCAGCTATGTGTATTTGGTTAGGTTTACAGTACCACAAATGAGTTTCCTCCCATTGAGTGGGCTTTAAGTCCATTTAGGTAGCTGTTGATTACCCCCAAGATAAAAGGGCCACTGCTGTACCAATTTCGTTTGCTGTACTGGTCACTGATGTGATTTTTAGGCTGTGAAGTTGGGGTTGGACCATCCATTGATGTTCTTCCTTACTAGCTTGCATAGTGCTCGCCAAAGCTATGAGGTGTCTTCCAGATCAGTCACAGCTCTGTTGCTCCAAATCCTGTGTCCAATGTATACCCTGTCTTCAGCAATATGGTCTTACCATCAAGTTCTGGGAGGCAGTCAAGGACTGTGGCAATAGCCTGTGTAATTTGGGGAGTCTCTTGGGCTACACTGGCCAATAACTCGAAGGAAATTTCTCCTGTCTGGCCCTCGTTCTTGTTATGTAGTTATACTCACAGACTCATGGAAGGATATTGTATGTGTAATTTTTCAGTAGGTTTTTGGACAATTCCCTCTGGTTTTTTTATACTAGTTAGGCATTACTTATCTTTCTCTCTCTTAGGGTTTTCTATGAAGCCCAGGTTCACCTGGAATTTGAGATCTTTCTTACCTCAGCTTCTCAAGTATGGTGATTTACATCTATGTGCTACCACACTCAGGTAACTGTTCTAATAGCTGTGAACTAAATGACTTGATTCCACCAGTTGTAAAACAGGCATGATAGCGGAGGCCTGTAATTCCAATACTCAGGAGGCAGAGGCTGGAGGATGTCTAAGAGTTAGAGGTAAGACTGTGTTGCATAGATAAATGCTATCTAAAAAAAAAAGTCTATTAATAATGACCAAATTGTGGTGTACTTCTAAAATAGAATACTATGCATCAGTTTAAATACAGCAGTCGTACAAATCATGGATATATCTAGAAAACACTATAAAACGAAAAATATCAAATATTCATTTTCTCAGTTATTTATACTATATTAAGGTTATCACCAGTATTAAATGTGAAAATATATCATGTGTTTAGCAAGAACTTTAATAAATGTCAGCTATTGGGGTTGGAGAAATGGCTTAGCGGTTAAGAGCACTGATTGTCTTGCAGAGATTCCCAGCACCCACATGGCGGCTACAAACCATCCTTAACTAGAGTTCCAGGGGAATCCGAAGCCTTCTTCTGACCTCCACAGCATTGCAGGACACGAGTGCACTCACATACATGCAGGCAATACACTCATACACATAAAATAAATATTAAAAAATAAAACAAATGGCAGCTATTATGTTGTCCTAGCAGCCGCCTTTTTAAGGAACTGGCCATTAAAGAATGGAACAGAGGTGGATGTGGTGGCACGTCTTTAACCCTAGCACTTAGGAGGCACAGGTGGGTGGCTCTCTGTGGGTTCCAGGCCAGCCAGGGCTACACAGTGAGACTGTCTCAAAAGTAAAAACAAAAGAACAGAAAAGGTCATCCCCAGTACCACCTAACACCACTGATCCCTCTTTCAAATTCCTTTTTCCACTTTTTCGCAGTCCAGTCTCGGTCTCTTTAAAATGTCAGTCATAACTCAGGTGAGAGGAACGCCGGGAAGGCCTCTAGTTCTGGGACTGGGGCATGACGGGAAAAGAGGGCGGGGACCAGGGCTGGGAACATCCAATCATCTCAGATCTGGGACGGGGCGGGGCGTTGCCATGGAGCCGAGGAGCTTCTAGTAGGGACGTTTCTGGTCTGGACGGGGTGGGTGCACCTCGGGCACCGCTGTGCATTCCCCGACTTGGCTTCCAGGCGACTGGAGGTGGGTGCGGGGCCGCGCCGGGCCGAGAGGCCGCTTGGGTCAGTGGTCCTGCGGGAGGCGGAGCCGGGAGCGTCACGTGACAGAACTGGCACGGACGACGGCGTCACGTGACCACGCTGGGTCCTGCGGGGGCCCTGTAAGACTGCTCCGTCCTGTCGTTCGCTGCACTCGGAGTTGCGGGCTTTGGTGGGTAGAGCTTCCGAGCGCTTGCGACTTTCAGAGGCGGGGAAGTGACAGCTGTGGCAAGGGGTTGAGAGTTCTCTGCAGGCTTTTAAAAACCTGTTGTCCTGTCCGCGGCTGGCGGGAATAGAGAGACGAGGCGGCTTCAGGGGACGCTTCCTTTTTACTACGGCTTCCGTATATACGTACGTTAGGGAATCGCCTGAACGCCCAGTAGATTGTTTATAGGAAGGCGTTAGCGAAGTCTGCCACAGAGGAGTTGACCTCCATCCAGTCCCCGAAACGTTCAAGGCCAAGTTAGAGGTGAAGGTGAGGCAGTGGGTGCACCCCGCTTTGGAGACATCAAAGCTGACGTGGGTTTTAAGTTCATAGTCAAGCAATCAGAAATAATTTTTATCTATATTTATTTTATATGTATGTGTATTGCCTGTATGTAAGGACACCTGTGTCGTGTAATACTTTGGGAGGCCACAAGAGGGCCTGGAACTGGAGTTACAGACGTTGGTTAGCTGCCTTGTGGGTGCTGGGAATGGAGCTGGGTCCTCTACAAGAGCAGCCAGTCAGTGCTCTTAGGAATTGAATTCTTGAGTCCATCTCTCCAAGAACTTGGGAACTTGCTCACATGGTTAGTTCTGCCAGTCTACTCAGTATCCTGAAACATAGTCAAGACCACACACAATGCTCGTCTTTAAAGGTACCGGGGAAGCGTCAGCTACTATTCCTGGAAGACTGTTTTCTCTTTGGAAGGAGCAGAAAGACAGAACAGTCATGGTGCCAGAAGGGTTGTTTCTCAGATCTCAACCCCAAAGGAATGCAGGTAACTATGAAGGAAACCAAAACCCGAGTACTGATCCTTTATATATTTTTAGGAGTCTACTGTCCACTGCCGAGAAGACTCTTAGTTTTAAAAGGGAGACAGCTGTGTCAAAAATTAGAATGAAAGAACCTTTGGATGGTGGGTGTGGCAAAGCAGTGGCACCGCAAGGGCTTCTGGCCGGAATTAAAGAAGAACCTGATAATGCTCAAGTAAGCATTGCCTCTTTTATTGTATTTATTATTTTTACTTTATGTGTATGAACGTTATGCCTGCATGTGTGTAAGTGCACCCATGGTGTGCAATGCTTGTGGAGGTCAGAAGAGGGCATTGGGGATCCCCTGAACTGGAGTTATGGGTGGTTGTCAGCCTTCATGTGTGTGCTGGGAACTGAACCCCAGTCCTCTGCAAGAGCAGCCAGTGCTCTTAACTGCTGAGCCATCTCTCCAGCCTGGTCTTGTCCTTTGTTGTTGCTCTCTTCCTCTTGCACCTTTTTCAATATTATGATGCAGCTCGAATGCTTGACCAGGTACAGGCCCTGTATCTTGGAATTCACAGCTTCCAGAACTGTGAGAAATTTCTTTTCCTTGTAAATCACCTGTTCTGTTCTATTGTTTTCCCTTAAAGCAACTTAATGAGGTCCAAAACTGGGTTGACCAGGTTTTCTGTGCTTTCAATGAGAAAAGGTTTTGGTAACTGTGATATTTCTTTTTGTAAAAGGAACAGAAGTATAAAAGTGGTAATGATTGATTAACAGCACCAATAGGTGGTGTAGTTATTCACCATATGATAGTATGTGGCATTATTAATACTAGCAATGATATCTGTGCATCCTTGGAGTGTACTCAGTATCGCTTTCACAGCCATGTTAACATTCTCATTTTATACATGAGGATATCAAAGCTCAAAAAAGCCCATCAGTATATACGATCAGTTACTAAACATTAGAGAGGTGTGCTGGATAGCTTTAGTGTCAACTTGATACACCTGGGTTGAGGGAGCCTCTATTGGGGAATTGCATCCATTGGACTGGCCTGTGGCCATGTCTGTGGGGCATTTCCTTGATTGTTCAGTGATGTGGGAGGGCCCAGCCCACTGTGGGTAGTGCCACCCCTGGGCAGGTGGGCCTGTATTGGATAAGAGAGCAAGCTGAGCAAGGGCCAGGGGAACAAACCAGTAAGCAGCATTCCTCCATGGCCTGTGCTCTAGCTCCTGTTTCCAGGTTCCTGCCCTGAGTTCCTACCTTGGGCTCCCTGACAGACTGCGACCTGGGAGATGTAAGCTGAATAAACCCTTTCCTCCCCAAGTTGGTGTTGGTCAGAGTGTTTGTCACAGCAATGAAGAAACAAACCAGGACAGAAATTGGTACCAGAAGTCGGGTATTGCTGTGAAGACCTGACCTTGGTGTTTTGGGGAGGACTGATGCTGGGACAATTGATGCTGATTAGCTGGGGCTGAAAAATTAGCTGTAAGTAACAAGAGACCAGCATCACTGTGGTGAATATGCTGAAAGAGTTGTAGACAATGGAGGCCTGGCTTGTGATGCTTCAAAGGGCAGTTTGTGTGATATTTTGAATTGAGAATCTGTGGGTTCTGGTTGGCTGAAGCTGAAGAATCAGCTGTGATTAAAAAGAGACCAAAATCTGAAGTAAAACCTTTGCTTTACTGGGACAATTGATGCTGATTAGCTGGGGCTGAAAAATTAGCTGTAAGTAACAAGAGACCAGCATCACTGTGGTGAAATCTTATGGGAGGTATTTCCTCAGCATCAGCACACAGAGGGGACCTGAACCTTCATCTCAAGCTAGAAGCAGGAGTTGGTTATGTGTAAGAGTCTCCTGCATGGTTCTGGTGTTGAAAGAGGCGTGAAGAGGTCACAGAGAGTAGCTGAGGCTTGGCACTCTGAGAGGCCAGGAAAGGCCATAGGTGAAAGTGCAGCTTCAGTTGCAGTGAAGACCCCAGGATTAAGGGGTCATGGAGAGAATCAGGCTTTGTACCCCAAGAAACAAGAAGAGGCCACTGGTGAAGGTGTAGCCTCAGTTTCAGTGGCAACCCCAGCTTTCTGGAGATGCCAGGACTGTGGGACGACCACCAAGGGCAGCGGCATGTGTGAATGGAGCTGGCCTGGGTCTGCGAGATGAACTGTGTGTGCTGTGGATGGCAGAGTCAGAGAAATAGAGCTGCCAGAACCCTATGGAGCCCAGAAGATTGTGAGTGAACCCCAGGTGTCCAGCCTTGAGCTACTTTGCTGGACTTTGGTTTTGCTTAGGTGTGCCAGATTCTTCCCTTTGAAATAAGACAGTACTTGTTTTGGATTTTACAGAAGCCCACCCACAGTTGAGAGTTTTAAAAGAGACTATGGACTAAGGACTGTGGGGTTTTTAAGGTTGTACTGTCTTATGTTGTGATATTAATGTTAATATTGTGTCTTGAGGGACAAGAATTGGAAAGGTTATGGTTTAATAGTGATGTGTTTGTGTGTCAAGATGACAAGGGGTCAATTGTGCTGGATAGCTTTAGTGTCAACTTGACACACCTGCGTTGAGGGACCCTCAATTGAGGAATTGTTTTCATTGGACTGCCCTGTGTATGCATGTATTGCCTGCATGTAGGTAAGTGCACCTGTGTCGTGCAGTGCCTATGGAGAACAGAAGAGCCTGTTGGATCCCTTGAACTGGAATTAAGTTACAGACAGTTGTTAGCTGCCATGTGGGTGCTGGGATTCGAACCTGGGTCTTCTGCAAGAAAAGTCAGTGTTCTTAATCACTGAGCTGTCTCTTCAGCCCCTGTAGGCTGATTTTTTAAAAAGATTTGTTATCTGTTTTTTTGTTTGTTTGTTTGTTTGAGACAGGGTCTCACTGTGTAACCCTGGCTGACCTGGAACTTGGTATATAAAACAGGCTGGCCTCAACCTTACAAAGATCTGCCTACCTCTGCCACCTGAGTCCTGGGATTAACGGTATGGGCCACTACGCCCAGACTGCTTTTAATTTTGTGTGTGTGTGTGTGTGTGTGTGTGTGTGTGTGTGTGAATGAATGTAAGTGTATGTCAGTGCAGGTGTGCTCACGGAAGCCGGAAGCACAAACCTCCCTGGATCTAGAGTACCAGGTAGTTGTGAGCCTGTTAGACTTGAGTGCTGGAAAGAGATCTTGAGTCCTCTGCAAGGCCAGTATATACTCTAAACTGATGAACCATCTCTACAGTCCAAGAATAAAATTTTTAAAAAATTAAAAAATTTTTATGTGTATAAGTATTTTGCCTGCGTGTATGTATGTGCACCATGTGCATGCGGTGCCCATGTATGCCAGAAGAGGGCATCTGATCACTGGAACTGGAGTTGTGGATGGTTGTTAGCTGCCATGGGGGTGCTGGGGAGTGAATCCAGGTCTTCTGGAAGATCAGGTAGTGCTCTTAACTGCTGAGCCGTCTCTCTAGCCCTAAGAATAAAAATTAAATAAATAAATAAATAAATAAATAATGCAATTAAGAAACCAAAGACAATGGAACCAATAACAGTGTCAGATGGGTTTGAGAGGCCAAGTAGTAAAGAATCTTAAAGCATTTGTTGGATTGTCAATTGTGAAATGAGGGAATCAAAGTAAGACAGTAGCGAGAGAATAAGTACTTAAAAAGACTGTGCATGTGGTGTGTGAATGTGGACACTTAGGCACTATGTGAGTCTGTGGCGTCAGAGGACAGCTTTCTAGAGTTGACTCTTTGCACCATGGAATCAGGATGACTCAGGTCATCAAGTTTGCACAGCAAGCACTTTTACCCTCTGAACTGTCTCACCAAACCAAGAGTGAAATACTATTAGTTTGATTATGAAGGGAGGGAGAAGACAGGGCAGTAGTAGTTTCTGAAGGAACAGATCAATATGCAGTCATGTAAATGGAGGGGAAGAAGCCAAGATGGAGGTGTCCAGAAATAGAAGATAAAAGGTGGGTTGGAGTGCCCAAAGAAGGGAGAGGAACAGAACCCAGAACACTTAGCTGTGAAGAGATCACTTTTCCTGGTGAGGTCACTGACCTGGTGAGGTCAGAGAGCAGTTTGCAGACAGGGTATAGTTGGGGAAGGAGGGTGTTGAAGGAGTTGTTCTTAGCTGCTTGCTTTCACTTGGTGAAATTGAAACATGAGTGAGCAGAAGCTGTCAGGAACTATGAGTCCTGAAGATTTAACAGTGACTTTGTGAAGTAAACTTGTCAGGGAACTTTAGTTGATGATAAGGCAGAGTAATTTTTTGTTTTTATTTTTGTTTTGTTTTGAGACAGTGTCTCCTTCCAGTTCCAGCTGGCCTGGAACTGGCTATGTAGACCAGGGTAGACCAAGGGCAGTCATTTTCAAGACATATTATTATTTTTTCTTTAATTTGTTTAAGGCTTTCATTTTCTAACTTCTTTTTATAAAAATACTTATTTTTATTTTATGTGAATGAGTGTATTGCCTGTATGTAAGTGCATGCACCCATGTCATGCAATGCCGTGGAGGTCAGAAGAGGGCTTCAGATTCCCCTGGAACTGGAATTAAAGACGGTTTGTAAATGCCGTGTGGGTGCTAGCAATCAAACCTGGGTCCTCTGCAAGAGCAGTCAGTGCTCTTAACCCCTGGGCCATCCCCCCCGCCCTGTAACTTTTTTTTTTTTTTTTTTTTTTTTTGAGACAGGCTTTACCCTGTCTAGCCTATCCTGGTCTGGAACTGACTATGTGACCCAGGTTGGACAAAAACTTGTGGTGATCTCACTTCTCAGCCTCCCAGTCCTGAGATTACAGGCTGAACCTCTACACCCAGTTTCATTTTCTAATGTTTAGAAGAAATAGATCAAGGATAAATGATTTAGTTTATGGTGATTTTGTATCTAATAAACGGAATGCATTGACATTTTTGTATCTTTTTTTGCCACTCACAGATGTGACCTTGTAAATCTGTGGGCTGAAATTACAAATTTAGGGGCTGAGTTCAATCCCCCAGCATTGCATAAACCACATGTGGTGGCCCATGCCTGTAATCCCAGGTAGAGGCAAAAAATGACATTGAGGGTCATTTCATTTAGATAAGCAGTTCAAGATCAGCCTGGGTTTCATGAGACTGTGTCTCAAAGCAAAAAGAAAAGAATCACTAGTTTAGATCTAAACTTTACGTCATTTATATTAATTTCACTTATCACTCTCTTGTAAATATAGCATAGAAAATGAGAAGAATTGGGGCTGGGGAGATGGCTAAAGTGCTTGCTGTGCTATCATGAGGACCTGAGATCCAATTCCCAGCACCCAGGTAAAAAGCTGGATGTGGACCTGTGGTCCCAGTGCTGGGGTGTAGGAGGCAGGACCTTTGGAACTTGCTGGCCAGCTAATCTAGCCAGTCAGTGAGATCTAGGTTTAGTGAGAGACTCTGTCTCAATAAATAAGGTGGAGAGAAATTGAGGAATACCCTGATGTTGACCTCTACATGTACTTACTAAACACATGTGTATCCACATGCATGTGCATAGACATGAACATGTGGATACACAAACCCAAATGGGTAGCATTCAAGGTTAGAATACTGCGTAGTATCTTCTCGTATACCGAGATTGCACTTGAGAATAGGTGGAACTATGACATGTATTACAATTTATCTAGTCAGTAACAAATTTTATTTTTGAGGTATTTGTGAAGATTATTCTGATTAGGATGTACAAAAGATGCATATGACAGGATCAGATTTTAGTAGAACTACTGGTTTATGTAAGTATACTGTATTTAATTCTCTCTCCCCCTTCTTTTGTTTTTAAAGGAGTATGGATCTCAAGAAAGTGAACTGAAAATCAGTGCTGTGTTTTCAGTTAGTGACCCTTCTCTTGGTAAGAAGTAAAACTAAGTTTATTACAGTTGCTGTTTGTTAGTGGAACTGAGGGAAAGGGATCTCCTTATCTAAGTCTTTGTCCTCCTTTAGAGCAAAGTTTTCAGATTGGGAACTGGTTGTCATTAGCCTTTTAAAAAATGTAATACATTAAGATTATATCAGAAGATGATACATATATTAGGGAAATTAATGTTTTATGAAACTTGTGTTTTAGACAATAAGTTATACACACTGTTGTGAGAGGCTGGCCACAGTGGCAAATGCCTGTAATTGCATTCCTTGTGAGACTGAGATAGGAGGGTTATAAGTTCAAGGCCATCCTGGGCTACATAGTGAAACTCTACCTTAAAATAAATAAATAAGTAAAAGTAAAAAATCTTGCTTTGTATATGAAAACTGGGTTTTAACTAAAATGTAATTCTTACTATGCTAAGAAAAAGTTTGAACCCCGATGTTTTGGAATGCTTATTGTTTCCTTAGTCTGGAGCTTTTCAGAACCGACAAATACTTTTTCCTTAAAAAGATTATGTATGCATTAGTGTTGATACTGAAGTTGTTTTTGTTTTGTTTGTATTTTGTTTTGCCAGGCTTTCAGCCTTCTCCTCTACCACTGGACCCAAATACGTCACTTCCTTCAATTCCATCTGTAGCTGTTGAGGTTGTTTGTTCTGGTTGTAAGAAAATATTTTATAAGGGACAAACTGCATATCACAAGACAGGATCTGCTCAGCCCTTCTGTTCCCTGGAATGCGTCAGTAGATGTTCTGTACCCATCTGCCTACCACCTCCTCCGAAGAAAACCTGCACAAACTGCGCCAAGTACACAATACTCTTTGTTCATTAAAATTTTGTTTTGTTTTTCTTTTTTTTAAGTACAAAAAAAATTTTAGCAAGTTTTTTCACTTTACTTTTAAGGTGTGTAGTTTAGTTCAAATATGTTATCACTTTAAATCTCTTTAGCACATTTCTGTGGTTTTTGCTTTTTAGGTAGTGGGGGAATTATTCTAAAGTTATTAAATAAATGACTTGATATTAGGAGTATTGCCTAAACCAATTTTTTTTAGTTAAAATTATACTATGGAAAGAAATAACTTGTGGGGATTATAGGACAATTCATATGCCTTGCAGTTGTGAACAGCCACCACTTAAAACATGAGCAGTTCTTGCCAGGTGTGGTGGCACATGTCTTCAATCCCAGCACTCGAGAGGCAGAGGCAGGCAGATATCTGTGAGTTCAAGGCCAGCCTGGGCCACATAGTGACTTTCAGGCTACCTGGGGCTAGCCTGACACCAGGAGACCATGTCTCAAAGAAAATAATTAACAGTTTTCTTTAAAGTAACTGAGGTACAGAAAACCAAAATATCACTCAATAATATATAAAAGTTATTTAATTCTTTAGAATGTAAAAACTCAAGTAGTGACAAAATAGTTTTTATTTTTAAAATTCTCATGAGCTTTTGTTGTGATCAGTATTGCTTTAAAATATGCTTTGATGCTGAGAGATGAAGAAACAGCAGTCACTGAACAAGTGCTTGACAAGTGGGATCTCATTAATAAGAATTAAAGAGCCAGGCATGGTGGTATGCCTTTGATCCCAGCACTCAGGAGGCAGAGGCAGGAAGATCTCTGTGAGTTCAAGGTTAGCCTGGTCTGCATAGTGTCAGGACAGCTGGGGCTACACGGAGACCCTGTCTCAAAAAGACCAAAAAAAAAAAAAAATCATAATTATATAGTACTGTGGATTTTCTATTATTTTTATTTTATGTGTCTGAATATTTTGTCTGCATGTATATAAGTGTACCACATGTGTGCAATGCCCACAGAGTCCAGAAGAGGATGTCCAGTCCTCTGGAACTGGAGTTATGGACAGTTGTTAGTTGCCATGTGGGTGCTGGGAATTCAAATCCCGGTCCCACAAGTGATTTTTTTTGTTTGGGTTTTTTTTTGGTCTTTTTGAGACAGGGTGTGATGGATAGCTTTAGTGTCAACTTGACACACCTGGGTTGAGGGAGCCTCAGTTGGGGAATTGCCTCTATTGGACTGGCCTGTGGC